CTAAGAGCGTGCTATTTTGAGTCCTACAGCTTTGTAGTATATTTTGAAGTCAAGTAATGTAATGCTTTTTTTTTTTTCCTCAAGATGTTTTTGGCTGTTTTTTTTTTTTTCTGTTTTGTTTTATAGTTTCATAAAAATCTTAGAATTGTTTTTCTAGTTTTGTGAAGAATGTCCATGGTATTTTGGTAAGAGTAGGGATTGTATCGATTCTGTAGACCTTTTTGGGCAATATGGACATTTTAACAATATTGATTCTCCTAATTTGTGAATGTGGGGTGTCCTTTTATTTCTTTGTATCTCTTATAATTCCTTTCATCAGTGTTTTATTATTTTCATTCTAGAGACCTTTTGCCACTGCTTAAATGTATTCCTATTTTTTTGTAGCTATTTTCAATACTGACTAGAGATGTACATTTGGGAATCAGTTGCTATGTAGTTGATAATTGAAAACAAACATGAAATTTCCAGGAGAACAATTTTGGATAGGAAGAGAAGTGGGGCTGGAATCAAGCCTCAAGAGTCACAGTATTAAAAGCCAGATAGAAAACAGTGAGCCACTGCAGAAAACATAGATTGTAGGATTGTTGAACACAAGGGAAGAAATTCTTTTATAGAGGAACTGGTCAGTAATGACTGAAAATGTTCTTACATAAATGTGTGGCTAGTCTTTAGCAAAACTCATTTTAGTGAAATAATGGGAGGGAAGCCATGTTGCAGTAGGTTGAAGGATCGAGAGAGGAAGTTGATACTAATTAGTATGATACTACATTGTTTCAAGGATTAATGGCAAGACAGTCTGTACATGTTCAGTACAGATGCAATCTTTCTGCCCTATTTTCCACTATCCATCTTTTGTTAGTTGAATACACATATGCAGAAATCACAGATATGGAGAGCCAACTGTATTTGATTCAAGATAGAACTGCTTATGATTTAAGCACTTTTCCTGTTTTTAAAAATATGTATTTTATAATAGATAATAAGAATATGAATTATTTATCAGTCTAGTAAAGAGACAGAATTCATCCTGTTTTGAACAGAAAGAATTCAATATAATGAGTTATTAACTAAGTATAAAATTGTTAATTAGTTAAATGGTAGATTAAAAAGAATACTCTGAAGCTATCACAGTGATGGCTCTTACAGGAAGCAACCAGGCTGAAGGAAGAAGTTTTAATTAAAACTTAGACAGTTAAAGAGGAAGGGTCATGCAGAGGTGAAACTTGACCTCTAATGAGGATGTACTGGCCAGTTAATGCGGCTTCTGATTTCTTTGTTGTTAGTTGAAGATGCTGAAGCTGGTTGGTTTTGCAAGTGTTGAGAAAACACGTGTTGGAATTTAGCTGCTGCTACAGAAAGGAACTGCTGTTTGTGCTGATATAAAAGGCTGGAAGGCAGGCCGTCATGGAGTCTGAGTGTCCTTGCCCACTTTTGCTGGGTATACTGAGAAATAAGTCCGTGGCTGCTTTGTATTGGAGTCATCATGGTTGTGCTCACTGGATCAAGTAGTATCTTACACACATAGGCTTGCTTTTGCTTATTATAAAAGAGATTCCCTAAGTTTAGTATCTTTTCTTGTAACAGAATCCACTGTGTATGTAGGCATCCATCATAGGTCCTGTGCATAGTCCCTGTGAGATTAGGGTCAGGCAGGGCAGTTGCAATGGATGCAAATGAACTTTAGCTGCTACTTTGCCATGACAAATGATTCCTTTTATCTCTCACCTAATCTAGTGTCTTCTGCCAACCGTCATGAAACTGTGGCAGTATGTATGGATGTGTTTCTGTTTCTTTGTGCTAACTCTTAGTCTTGTAGTTACTCTTATTTGGTCCTAAGAAACAGCTGTCTAATCTTTAAGGTTGCTTCTGTTTATGGTGATGACGAAAAATTCATCTTGAATATAATACTGAGAGTTAAAGAAGAGAAATAAGGAGTTGAAAGTGAGAAAATATATGGAGAGGGTTCAAACAATACTTAATAGTAATACCAGATGAGTTTAGTGGAATAAGTGATAATCAGTATTTGAAAGGATATTAGGAATGAATGAGAAATATTAAAAAACTGCCAAAGAGGAAAGGCCTGTTACTTACGAAAAAATAACATCTCATAGCAGAGTTCTCTATAGTAGATACCAGAAAACATTAGGGTAGTATCTATAAACTGAGGTAAAATAGCTTTCAACCCAGAATTTTATATTAGCCAAACTATCATTCAGGAGGAAGATGTAAGATACAATATACAGATATATATATACACACTAATTAATAAAATATTTTGAGGAATTTAATGTTGAGTATAAAAATTAATGTTGGATAATGCAAATTGTAAGAATATATTCCACATGCACGTGTGTGTGTGTGGGTATATCAAGACTGTGGACTTGGGGGTGCAGGTATAGGTCAGTGGCAGAGCACTTGCCTAGCATGTATAAGAAAATAAGCAAAGAAAAATGACAAGTATTTTTTTCAACTGTCAGATTTTAGGAATCCAAAGTTTGGTAACTTTTAACAAAGATACCTAAAAACAACCACTCCTAAATTGCTGGAGAAGGACAAATTATCAGTAAGTAATTTATCGAAAGTACAAATGTATGTACTGGTTGATAGAACATTTTCACACTGGAATTACCACATTGTGGCTTATCTAACATAGCCATACAGTATGGAAACAAATTAAATATCCATCATTAAATATATTATAATCAGTACATCCATACAAGAGGAAATTCTGCAGCCACTAAAGAGAAGGAAGTGGTAGCCCTTTATCAACTGATTTAGAAAGATTTTCATGATACAATAAGTGAAAAAAAGCAAGTTCAAGATGAATTGTCTGGTATTCTGTATTAGAGAGAAAATGTGTAATATTCTGTGTTAGATACTTGTTAGAGATTATGTGTGTGTAAACTGTAACAGAATATCTTTTTCTGGGAGGGCTCAAAAATGAGTTGATAAGAAATGGCTAGGAACCATACATTCTGTGGGACTGGTTTAGAACAAAATATTTCCTAGATATTTAAGAAGCAAAATATTTATTAGCTATTTAAGAAGCTTCTGGCTAATGGCATTGCAGAAGGAACTGTGTAGTTAAAGGACAGAACTGGATATTTATTTTTTATTTTTTTTTGTATTTTGCATTGTTTTTCTACCTTGTATACTAAAAACTAATTTGTTTTATATTTACTGTTGTCTCTTGAAATTTTATCTGAAAATAGAGAATGTAAATCTGTATTAAAGAGTTTATATATTTATAATAAATCAAGATCAGTGTAGTATGTAAAGAAACTTTCCTTAAGGGCATTTGAGTGTTTTTTTAACTTTCTACTATAATTGGTTACTGTACATGTTTTGTTTGTTTGTTTTTTGGTACCGGGGATCAAACTTGGGTCCTTGCACTTGTGAGGCAGCCGGCAGAACCACTGAGCTAAATCCCTGGCCCTGGTTACTGTACATGTTAACTGTTATTATACAAGGTAGTTAAAAATTAGGCAGCATGCTGTTGGCCAATTCTGGATATGAAATGAAAATGCCTTCTATTTTGAAATTGTTTATATTTGTAGGTCATTTTATCATTTTAATATTTTATATTTAGAAAACATGTGATACACAAATAATGTGATTAATAAATACATGGCATTAATATTAATTCTTAGATAAATATTGGTCCCTTTGCTCTCATAGTAAACAGAGAAAATACTGTTTGCTATGTAATGTAATTTGTCTTTACTGACATTTAAAGTAATACCAAGAGGACTGAATTTACATCTCCTTTTCTGAGTTAATTAGATAAATAAGAATTATTAAAATTTTTAGCTTATGTTTTTCTTTGGGGTTTTTAATGTAAAGTATATACTGAAGGAAATGTTAAGTTATAGATGTATGAATGTATCTAATTACAGATCTTTAAAACAGTTTCTGCTTCATGTAACAATCTTGCAAGATATCTTAGTGTCATATTTCTTTGGCTACTTGTACATATTCCTCTGTAATATTTTCTACCCGCAGTAATATTGGGGTCCTTTTTTTAATACAGTCTCAACTCAAACTTTGATATATTCCAGCCTGTTAGCTACTTATTATTTGAAATAGTTGATATTTTGTTAGAAATATTTTGCTGTAGTGACAAAGTGAAATCTTAAATAATTGATCAGTTTGGAATACATTTGAGAGAGGATAGGCCAGAGTTATATAGGACAGCATTTCACTTTTCCTAATAGAAGGAACATTCTGACTCAGTCTCATTTTGGAGTCTAAATTAGTGGTCTTCAAAGTAGAGTTCACAAACTTACCTGTTGGGATATGGTAAGCAAATTAGTAAAAATGTTACTGTCTACATCTTGATAATTCATGAGTTTGAAAACCACTGATATTTCAGCAGTTTATTGTTTTGGGTACCAAAGAAGCACCAGAGAGGGACCTGAGGTTAGAGCATTCGTAACTCTGAAAGTAAGCTTGAACTGTGAACTCAAATATTTTTTCTTTTATAATGAAGTTAGATCTTGACAGAAAATGTTGTGTTATAAACATGTTTATAGTAATCCAAGGGCATTTATCCAAATTGGGTTACATCTTCCTTTTATTTTATTTTGGGTACCAGGGATTGAACTCAGGACCTTGTGGTTGCGAGGCAGGTGGCGGAACCACGGAACCACTGAGCTAAATCCCCGGCCCCCTGCTTTTATTTTAATATTTAAACTAAGCTTGACTATCTTGAATGAAAGTTCCATAGCCAAATGTTTGTTTTTCCCCACTGAAAAAACAGATGACATTAACATCAAAACCATGTCTTTTCAATTAATTGTAATTTTAGGATTTTGCCTCTTGGGTTCCTTTTCTCAAGATCCAATTTGCAAACATTTTCTCTAGTTACTGTGCTCTCTGTGGTAGCATTAAATGCCCTCATTCCTCTGCCTCCATGTACCTAGTACATAGTATGAGATACAGTAATAAGCAAAGACCATTGATGGCTAAAATTTATTGGTATTCTTTTTTTTAAATCTCAGATATTCAAGATAAAAGCAGTGCAATTGGCTGAGAAACTCCTTCCTGCCTTTAATACACCTACGGGGATTCCCTGGGCAATGGTGAATCTAAAAAGGTAAACTGTTTCATGTGATTGTTTCTATTCTGGAAGAATTAACTGATTTTAAAAAACCTTTTTAGTCTTAGAAATTTCTAATGATCTGCCCCATCATACTTTTCAAGATTAAATTGTTTCTCTTCATATGTATATACTAGTATGTTGCTTTAAAACATTTTCCAATTTTTAAAAAATAAGTCCTTTACTTTGAAACAGGTCACCTCTAACTTTGTTCCAGTTTTTACCACTTGTTTCTTTAAGTATAGATTTCTCTTCCGCACACTGGTATGGTCATCAATGTTTGTTTTCTTTTATTTGCTTATTAATTTCCACTTAATGCTATTATAGATTTAAAGTACTTTCCTTCTTCTATTTTTGTATACTACTTGCTGATCTTGTAAGTCAAGATGGAAAACAAGACATAATTCATGATGTTGTCTTATAGTATCTATACTCTTGAAAGTCAAAGTGAGCTCTTAACGTACATTCTTTGCAGTGTGTTTCATTCTAAAAAAAATACTGATTTTTACGTAGAAGTACATAGATGACATGTTTTCTTTGTTTAAATTTGTAAATCATTTAAAGATACAAAATTAAAATTTGCATTATGTCAACATTTTAACTTGAAATTGACCATTTATACTGACTGGAATTCTGGTACTTAATTTTTTTCCAAGTAATATTTCTTTTTGTGTTACAGTTTGTAAATTATGTGAAAATTTGACTTGTTTTCATTATACTTAGACTCTCTAGATTAAAGTTAGAAGCATTTATATTTCTGGAGGTGTTATTCAATAACAATTTTATTTGAAAAAATAATCTGTTTTAGTCATTACTAATGAAGAACTTAGAGTTTAGATTACATTGAGAAATCAGCATTTAATACTGAACAATAAATCTAACTTTACTGCTCTCTGATTTCATGCACTGTATAAAACAAATTACCTCCTTTGTGAAGAAAAGCTGGCTGAAGTTCCAGAGTGACCTAACCGAAAGGAATATGGCCACATGATGTGGTGCACATACTTGCTAGTTCATGACAGATTTTCAGACATTTCCTCTGCTATCATTGATATCACATAATACCCCCAACCCAAACTATGGTGAGGCTTACCCTCAAGCTACCCACTCTCCTTTTGATTGTGTACTTCTTTCTTCTTTTGTGTAATGAATCTGCCTGTGCCTCTCACTGAAGTGTCCTGAAGTGCTTTTCTGTGATGATTCAAAAACCTATTTTGTGTGTGTTGGGTGGTTGAGTTGAGATCCTCATCTCTTTGGTGTACCATCATTTCAGCCTGAAGAAATTTAGTATTTCTTACAGGGCTATTTTGTGTTAGAATGGGTTCCTATAGTTTTCTTCTGTTGAAAAGTATTTTGCATTCATTCTTTTCTTTTTTTCCCCATTATTTTTATTGTTACATTTTAGGTATACAATACAGTTACATTCATCATTGGGATCTTGTACTGTTACATGATGTATCTTGACTTTTTTTTTCCCCTTCCCTTGTCCTCCCTTCACCCCTCCACCCTTCCCTATTTGCAAAGACCTTGTTTCCATTTTTTTCCTTTTCTCATATTTTTTCTTTTCCCTTCTT